CCATTTGCGGCTCACGGTCCCTCACGTCTCCCTGAAAGGCCACAGACGTTTCTTTCTCTTACGCGATTGTCGGTTCCATTACGATGGTTGAGGAACATTCCATAAATAGCCATGCCCCATGGTGTATTGTGAACAGGAAATAAACAACTGCTTCCCAACCCCCCCCCCGCCCCACAGCTGGCTTGTCTGCGCCACAGTGGCAGTGTGTCTCACAGTCTGCACAGAGGAAACTTACCGCCATTGAAACGGGTCACCGGTGCCTCTGGACTGTCTTGCACGGTGAAAGAGAGAGAGAGAGAGAGAGAGAGAGCTACAGGGACAGAGTGCGAGAGAGAGTGCGTCTGGCTTCTCTTCCTGCTTTGTCCTTGAAATCAGATGGAGAGCCATTATTTCGGATCCTGCTGTTCCGGGGTCAGTCGCCACAGGGATTCTGCTGTACTCATACGGAGGGGTGCAGGCTTGCTTGCTGGTTGGCTAGGCGAGACTTTGGTCACCCCAGCTGGCCAATCAGCAGATAGGAGGGACCAGCAGCTTAAAGGCATGGAGCGTCCTGCCTCTTGCAGCCTCTCACTGTCCCGAGTCCTGGCCCCGGTGATGAAGATCCAGGAGGGGCAGGGGGCTCTCCAGGCCGAGGGAGCAGAGGGGAGCCTCAGCATCGGCGGGGGGGGGCAGGCAGCCATGCTGGGTGAGGATAGCCCCCGGGGAGGTACCTCACCTTTCTCACTGCATTACTCATTGCGTCTCTCATTGAATTTCTGCATTAGGTTTATCTTCTCTGGCAGTTTTCTGGAGGTAGATTAAAGAGCCACAGCAAAGGAGCTGCAGCACGTTCTGTTCATGTCGTGCATCATGCTAGGTTTACAATGTCAGCAGAGTGTGAAATGCGCTTCTTCATGTTAGACTGTGTAGTGGTTTGGTGAAAAATGATCAATGATGACACCCTTCAGATACAAAAATCCATTTCAAAGCTTTTGAAACATTTTAAACTATTTATTGGACACAGCGGAAACACAGCGACCAGATATTTTAGCCACAGTTTCCTTCAGCCCTGGAAAGCTGAAGTTTGGAGACCCATCAGCGAGTCTTTCAGTTGTACCAGAGCTGAGAGCGTGTCCATGCTGATGGCCAGGAGTTTGGTCTGTCTGCAGGGGACACGCTGATCCTCTTGCTGGGGAAGGGAGGGTACAGGAAGGTGCTGGACTGCCGGATCATGCATTTCTCACGCCGACTGTGCTTTTATAAATGTTTGTATCTGCAGCATTTAGTCGTTCCAGTTGGCCAGCTGGCTTTGTACTGCCTGAATACTGGAATGAAATATCTGAAACCTATGAATTTTTTTTTTAGATGAATTCCAGTGAAAATATGCTAAATTCCAGGCATTTTGCAGATGCAGCTCGCTGATTCTGTCCGCAGGGCTCGTCAGGAAGTGCGCTGGCTCGTCTGCATCGATTGTTTGTCATTTATCCCCCAGAAAGATGCTGTGCTAATCTAGCCTGCAGTATGCCTTTGCTGAAATGGCTTAACAGGCCAGGTGGGACTTTTCATGAACACAGGTCCCATGCCAGGCGAGGTGTGCCCTGCCCCCAGCCGTGACCCCGCCCCCAGCCGTGACCCCGCCCCAGGGGGGCTACTCGTCTGGCAACTACTGGAGGAGGACAGTCACCCCATGCTGTCCCCACGTCGTTACGCACTTCAGTTCTGTCAGCATTCTGACGATGACACTGAGGGGGCCCCCTCACCTCCCAGCATGCATCCCTTCATGAGGTGAGGCCTGGAACAGGGTTCGAGGAGCGAGGGCGCTCTCAAGATCACAGAATGGAGCTCCACAGTCTGACCACGTCTTTTCCTGTGTCTGTGCATTTGTCTGTCTGTGTCTGTATATCTGTCTATGTCTGTCTGTGTCTATGTTTGTGTCTGGGTGTGTGTGTCTGTGTATGTTTCTGTGTCTGTATCTGTGTATGTGTGTCTTTGTGTGTGCATGTGTCTGTTTCTGCCTGTGTGTGTGTTTATATGTGTCTGTGAATGTCTGTATATGTGTGTGTACCTGTGTATGTGTGTGTCTGTTTGCATGTCTGTGTATCTGTGTGTGTGTGTGTGTGTCTGTGTGTGTGTGTTTCTGTATCTGTGTATCTGTGTCTGTGTGTGTGTGTGTGTGTGTGTGTGTGTGAGTCCCATAAGCCGGCAGAGGAGTCTGTCCCTGGGCTGCTGTACTGAGGACAGACCTGGCCTGACCACCGCCCAGCTCACCAAGAAGATTCATGCCCTGAAACAAAAGATTTGCAAGTATGAGGAGAGGTTCGAGGAGGAGCACAAGTACAGGGTGAGGAACCAAAGCCGGAGGTCCTAAGCCTGTAACCCAGCTGAGCTCCACACGGTTGGCAACGCTGTGACGAGTCCCCCTTTCCTACCTACAGCCATCATATAGCGACAAAGCTAGGAACCGCGATGTGCTCAGATGGATGAATGAACTGTCCAAGCTGCAGAAGGATCTTAGAGGTAGGCCTCCACATCGCAGAAGGCCTCCACATCACAGAAGGCCTCCACATCGCAGAGCACTGCAAAAGCAGGAAAGCGAGAATGAAGCACTTCCCGACCTGTGGTGCTCAGCGTACTCCGGTGTGGCAGCTATTGTCCCCACCACTGATGGCAGATCTCCTGGCTCTTTCCAGAGGAGCAGAGGAGCCTCTTGGGGGAGAAGGAGGCACCCTACATCCGGCTGCGCAGCAACACCCTCCCCCGGAGCTTTGGCTCACAGCTGGAGAGGGAGCCCCTGGCAGAGAAGCTCCAGGAGCTGACGGAGAAGGCGGTGGACATCATGCTCAGTGAGCTAAGGAAATGGAGAGAGGAAGCCGACCTTCCCGAGGACATCCAGGTACGGGTCACCATGGCAACTGCCAATATCAACACCATCACCTTCATAAAGATAGCACAATATCATCGGCAGCTAAAATCCTCTATAAGATGTATTAATATTCTCCTCCTAGAAGTGGGATATCTCAGATGTCTCGGAAAGGACAATATCTACCCTCCTGTTTGATCTTACTCTACTGAGATGTAATAATAATAAAACAGTGCTTCCATGAGTATATTAATAAAATGTAGATGAAACAGTGCTGACATAAGGGCTGCTCTGCTCCTCATCAGGACATGACGGGCGAGCAGGCTGGGCTGGAGAAAGCTGAGCTGCAGAGGATGCTGCTGTATTATGAGAGAGTCCATGGCAGGCCGGTGGGTGTGTCTGTGAGGGCTATGTGGGGGTGTGGTCACATACTGGGTGTGACTCTGGGGGTGTGATCATGTGGTGGGTGTGTCTGTGTGAGGGCTATGTGGGGGTGTGGTCACATGCTGGGTGGGACTCTGGGGGCGTGGCCATGTGGTGGGTGTGTCTGTGTGAGGGCTATGTGGGGGTGTGGTCACATGCTGGGTGGGACTCTGGGGGCGTGGCCATGTGGTGGGTGTGTCTGTGTGAGGGCTATGTGGGGGTGTGGTCACATGCTGGGTGGGACTCTGGGG